TCGATTGACTATTATTATAAATATCTCTTAATATATTTCCCAAAAATTCCTACTACTGTACTCAAGAGCTATCAAGAATTACTCGTTGCTTAAGGCGGTACTCTAGCCTACAGGACAATCTTCTAGGTGCTGTTTGGGATTTTTTTTTTAAGAACCATAAAGACATTATCGTGTCAGAATTTATGGCATAGTTTGGACCTATATTTAAGGAGTATACGCTATTCTTTCCGTGAAAAAATATTGAAATTTGTCGGAGATACAGCTACATCTTTCTTCGCTATTTTCTCAGTTTCCCAAGAACGCCCAAAATTATTGTCGATTGCTTTGTCATTTATCTTCTAGTGTTCTCGATTGATTTATCCGCGATTCCCTGAATCGATTATCCCATCGGTATCTTTTTAACGAGATAATCGCGTCGCGAGTTGCACAGTTCTATGAGTCGCGCACAGGTGAAGACAATGTCGTTTCAGCGGTACCAAGGACATTACGCGTTCTCTTTGCCTCTGTCGAGAGAAACCTGTCGAGGTTTGCTTACGTGCCAGGGGAGAAAAAGGAAGAGGAATTTAGATCCGAGTGAATGTCCAAGTTATTAACACTTTACCAGCCGCTCACTTCTCTCCGCCGGTGAATTTCGCGCGGGTTCTGTTAGTTGCTGATGGTCATATTTACGCTATCCTTATTATTTAAAAAGGCACTAATATTTGAGACTAACGGAACAAGCATCTGCTTAAAGAATGTCGGGAAAAGACAATCGGGAGAGTTAAAACGGAAGCATAGTGGAAGCATTGTGCTGTGACAGCAGCCGGCAAAGTGTTAAGGAACGTAACAGAGATGCAAAAGGTCGAGTTATGTTAGTACCTCCGCGACCTCAGTTTGGTAGATGGAGGTGGATTCTTGAAATGTTACATAAAAGTAGGATATTCCATGTGTTTGTTTATCTCTTGAGACTTGAAATTTGTTTACTTTGCAAAATCGAACGGCATTTTATTGACCGAAGATATCTTCATTGAACATAACAATCATTATATAAGTATTGATACGATGTTCCTTGATTGGTCTAGCAATTTCATTGCTGCTTCACTGATAATGTACCCTCTTAAATGTAAAATGGGTTATTATGTGCGAAGGTAGTGATTGTGGCTTCTCTGAATGGTAATTTATTGGAAAAGAAATACCAGTGTCAGTATTACTTCAGAGATATAATAATCGTGTATTACTTAGGATATTGAAATATCAAGTGTTGCCAGTGAATACTATATTAGTTAGCATTGAGAAAAAATTATACACTGATGTATACTAATTTGTTATATCAATGAATTATTAAATATTTCTTACTAATTTATCACCAATTTTTTACCTACTTATTTATTTATTACTAGTTTATTATCAATTTACCTATCTATTACCAATTAATTAATATTAATAAACTCTAATAATATACTATACTTCTCTACTGTCAGTTTATATTTAACGTTAAATTAGAAATGCAGTGTTGTTATATTTTATTGACTCGAGTGAGAATTACAAGTTTCTCAGCAATGGACTATAAATTATTTAAGTTGTAAATGTTTAGCACGATTTGAATCGCAGCTGCACTTTGTTTTCAAACGTTGAACATGAGGTGCAATAAACTCCCTTCTCCTGTGCAAATGCGAAATGCAATATCGTTCTATAAAAGTTCATCGATGCAAAAAGAAGATACGAATGAAATAGAATAAAGCGTCGTCTTTGTATAGTGACCTCCCTCACTCCTCCCCCGATTTGCCAGTGTCGATCTTTGCAATTTAATGCCACCATTGTCTGTTATGTATATATTTTTTAATACAGGTGGATTACACGCAACTTGTAAGGGATTAAAATCGTATGATACCAAATAGAGATATTTTATACGATATTAGGCCCATTATACATATCAACGAATGCCTGATAATCAAGATGTTCATTTTTATACGAGAAATGGTGTAGCTGTTTTGATTATCTCATGGATAATTAAAATTTTTCTGATTATGTTTGAAATCCTGTTCAATTGGTATGTTTATAATAACGATAAAAGGTAAATTCCATAATAAGTCACTTTAGCTTATTTTTATAGTAAAATTGTATCTGGAGTATTGTGTCCTACACGAGCAACGAGTTTTTGAACTACTAGATCTCAAATCAGATCATGAATCATAATATTTACTTTGGAAAGTTAAACTAATTAAATTACATAAAACTGCTTATGTAACTTATCTTTTATTCCTTGCATGATACAATTCAAACTTGAGGAATAAAGTCTTCAAGAAGATCAACAAAAATTGTAATTTTTAGAGAGAAATAGTGATTATGTGTAGTAGTGGCCTATTTACTTTATATATTACATTCTAAGCACTTGTAAATTATTTAGCTAAATTCAGAAATATAATTGTTAGGTACATCACTGTTTAGATTCATAAATTTTTAATCTGTTTCGTTATCCAACTAGAAAAAGAAAATCAAATGCACGTTACGTGATTCAAAGAATTCTTCTTTCTGGAAACCAACCATTTGGATGCAGAACAAAGTGTTTCCTTTAACCCTGAAATACTACAGTAGGATACTGCATTTTCTGGCACGAAAAGATTTATCTAATAGCAGATCTGAAGTTCTTTCAAGTGAAACTTATTATGTTAATGACACTATGTTCTTTTAAAACTATTTTCATGGTTAGCGTATAATAGTATAGAAACTATGTACAATAGTATTTCAAGGTTAAATATGCAAAGAATTATCATTGCTCGGTTCACGCAATCAATTCCATATACAATTATGAATTAACAAACAGCATTTACCATATTATTATTTTGCCTACATGAAATTATACATGTGCATGTTTTATATTTGTATGTAGAATTATTTTTCGGAATAAGCAGCTATTTAATCATTGTATATGGAGTTTGCAAAGACTATCGAAATGAGATTTCTCCATGGTGGTTGATATTTTTATGAACAACAGTATGTGTTGTAAAGAATGTCTTTCATACTTCTTCTCTTCTTTCGTTGCTGCTTAAGAAGCTTGCTTCACCGAGACATTTTAACATTTCTGCTCCTTGGTAATTGATGTTAATTGGAAACTTCCCATTAATTTCCTCGGGAATAATCTTCAGTGCCTTATATTCTTCGTCACTCCGTCACTTTGTTGTGTAGTTCTATATAAATTCTCTGCATAAACAGTACCGTTGCGATATTTATATCTTGCTATACTAACCTACTTTAATGAAATAACTAAACTTTAATCGATGGTTGCATTATTCATAGTGAAATGTAATATATAAATATACAAATATGACAGAATTGTACTTACACGGTATCGTGATAAATATAGTAGGTAAATCCTAAGAAATGTAAACTGCATATTCATGCTGATAATTTTTCACACGAACGCAAATACCGGTTTTTAGTAAGTAGTACTAATAAAAAAAGAACGAGTACATGGGCTGCATATTACAGCGGTACTCAGTATAGAGGTATAGTTGGTAACAAACTAATACTTAATATCTGTTTACTCCGGTTTAAACTGAAAGAATATTTTAAGAACTTGCTTTACTTTTTATTTTCATTTATATTTTACATTTATTCCCATATTTTTATTTATTTGTTATATTTGTTTCTATGTTTATGTTTATAATTTTGTTTATACCTATATTGTGTATATTTATATGTACATTATACTTATTTCTTTACTTTTATCTCTATAAATAGGGATTTTAAAAGGTTGCCATTCTTTTGCATCCATATACCACGTAGTTAATAGTTATATTCATATTATACAACAATCGATGTTGGAAATCGATTCTTTGAATAGGTTATGGCCGATAGATTCCCGCTAAAAATAGGCTGACAGATTCCCGCTATAATATAAGAGAGGAAAACCAATAAATAAAAAATACTGTAGTCATTGAAGAAGAAAATGGTAGATACAGAAGTGCACTATTATTTTTTATTGTAAATAAAATAAATTAATCTTTGGTTATGTAGCAAAAATATTCATTAGCCATAAAAGAATGAAATTGTAAAATATTTGATTCTTACTTTTGTTGGAATTCCAATTAAGCTTTTAAATCAGTAAACTTTATAAAAATTATTTAAAATAAATTGTTTGAAAATAATACGATACAATAATAATTTTATTTGAATTTTTTCACAAGTATCTAAATGTAAAATATTGAATTTAACTATATTCAAGAAGTTTAATATTATACTATCGATTAGAATATTTACAATCACTCATAATTAAAATTACATAATTATAAAATCGTTACATCTCCCTGTAACAAACATGTCGCCCCACGAGTCTTATACAGGTGATTGAGAAATATGACTGAGAACGTTCTAACAATAGCAACGCCGTATCAAGCTTCCGTATACACGCTTAACGATTGTTTACCATATGCCGATGAAAAACAAGTGACACAAAATCAAACTGCTGCTCCCTTGTTTACTGTCACTTTTGTTACACATAATAATAATGGATGGACATAATAATTCTGTAGAAAATTCGCAGGAATTTTGATCGATAAATCGACGTGTAAAGGAAGGAGCAAGCATTACAAAACAACGGTTAACTGGTTCTAGGAAAACACATCATAGGAAATATAACGTCTTTGCGCGTCATACCGTGTATTAAAATACCGATGCATTTATCGAACACTAATTTTTATATTTTGTGATCACAAACACAACGAATATGTTTAGACGATAAAAGGTTATTGGCTATTCCGATCACAACTATTAGTACCAAAAGCAAAATATGATTCACAGTAATTATTCGCGTACTCTTTCCTTTTACGAGAATAATCACTTCTCTTGTCTCTCCTTCTTCACTTCGAAACACGAGAACAGTACGAGAATTCAGTCGCTAACAAGGGAATCGATACAAACAGATCGATTTCGGTAACGCAGCTGTAGTTAAACATGAACATAGTCGACTATGGAATAATAAACTTACTATACTATTCCAAACAGAAGAGTGATTCTCTTACCAGTTTTAACGTAGAGGATTATTCGTTGCTACCATTCGAAGTCACTATTTATTTTGTTTTCTTTCGCGTTGAATAAAATCCATTCAATTACGTGAACACACTGCGCATAATTTCACAACCACGATCATTCGGTCGCGAGGTCCATTTGATTCGATAGCGATAAATGCAACACCATGAAGCAAATGAGAGAAAAACGAGAATTGTAATCGCGTCAAGCCAAATTGAGATTCATAAACGTAACACCTACCAAAACGGTCGGACAAGAACTGTCGATTATCCACGCGCGCTGTTTGCTGCGAGTCCGAACTCGTAATGACGGCGTAGAACCACGTGATCAACGAACCAATCAGTGGACTGAAAGTGGTGGGGCAAACGGACCGATAAGTTTGCCGCCAGATGTAGTGGGAGAAGGCCCTGTGGTATTTTATGAAAAGAGTGAAATCCCGTCGGAAATTTTTAGTTTATCGTGGTAATTTGCATTTAATTTGCTGACGATATATTTGAACATAAACAACAGTAAATCTTGTTCGAGGTAAACATTAACCATGATTCGTTCTTATTTCTATAACACTGTATGAAAATGATAGAATCGTTGTTGTTGATTCATTTCTTATTAAATTTTGCAATGAATACTGAATATGTTTGTGTATTTTAATAGGAGATATGATAAGAGTGTCATCATGGAAAGAAAGCGCGCAATAATATATATAATTACATATATAATATGCAGCATATATATATCTGGTTTATTTCATCTCTTATCATTTCAGATATCCCCATTATTACTAATGATAAAAAATACGCATCATTTAGCTGAAATGTGTTATCGAGTGAATTGAACATATGAATGATTATAAATTATGACATATGAATTCTAACCTCTGAAAATAAGGAAAACGTAGAAACAAATTCAATAATAATTCATAAGTATAATCATTATTAAAATATATATTAAAATTACAATCGATATTTAAGTAATTTAATATTGAAATACATAGCATTAAGTAAATAATTTAAATGTTATTTCTATCGCAATGCAAGCAATTTAAGATACTTTTATAAGTTCTGTAATTTAATTTAATTTAAGCAATTTAAATTCTTATATTAAATTTCGTCGACTAAAATTTTAGGGTATTGGTACTTTGAACACCCTATACATATAAAGTTATAGGTTAAGGGACTGCGTTTCTGGTTTCACTGGTCTAAATAAATGTAATGAGATAGTATAATATCGTGAAGAGGCACTGCAACAAGAGCTTCTTCTCTACCAGACAAACCAGAAGCCAAACTCTCTCTAAAGGGCTTTCAAACATTTCACCGAACATGTGTCTCTTCTGGTACTTTTCCCTCTCTAAATATTTATAAAGGTACGTTACATCGGCTTTCCCTCTTAACGTAGGACAAAATACTTAAGAATTTTTGATTTTTATTATTACAGAAGCGATTTTTATTATCTAAACGAAACTCAATATTTTATTGTATCTTTTGCTTTATTTATTTATTATTCATTCCAAATTCCTCATTAATATCGAAAAATATTATATGGTTAATTATATTTAAGCAATTACATTATTGTATTGTATGAAAATACTGAAGAAATTAGGTTGTCACTTTAGGTATTTAGAGCAGACAAATTACGCAAGTTTTTATTTTTATATCTCCTACATATATTTTTGAAGTGCGTACTTAAAATCTGTACTCCAATATTAGACAAAACATTTTTCTTCTAAATGTTTAATCTACTTTATTATTTACTCATATTCACAATCAGGTGATTTTTTAAATAATTATAAAGATTAAATGTTAATAAACTATAGGAAGTGGGAACATTATAAATAACAAATTGCTAAATAATTTAAAGCTAAAATTTTTGTTTAATTTACCATAAATAAAATAATTATTATTTACATACATATATAATTTTTCAGGAACAGACACTTAGCAGATCTATCAATAAAATTAGGAAAAAGAAAATGAGGAAAAGATGCATATCTGAGAAATGAAAGCATTTACTGAATTTTGCATTATCATGTTTGGAAAGAGAACGTGGTCATAAGAAAGCAGAGAGCTTTTTTATCGTTTATCTTTTAAACTACTTCCTCCATTATCTTCCTCCACTTTGGACCGTCCTAACCGTATGATTTACCCTGTATGGGGCATTAGAACATTCGCCAAGCGAATCTCTAAATATAACACAATAAAAAGGCGATAAGTATTCGAGGAAAGGTTTTCACTCTTTTCTCTCTCGGTATAGCGAATTGAAGGTAGAGTCGAGCATTCAAATACCCAGATGTGACGCGACAGTTCTGATCCTCAAAGGTTCTGGTCGCCACATGGCCTAGAATAATATACTTCCGTACAGTCGGTTTTTTCCACGACAGCTCTCTTCACCATGAAAAGTCTTCCCCATTTAGAGTAGCATGCCCCTTGAAAAATCTTCTAAGATGATTTCATAAGGGTAAGCAGATGTGCACCATGGTGCCGTATTACTATTTCCGTTTCCGTTCCTTTCACCGGTTCTTGCCACGTGCCTTAAGGTACAAGCATTGGAGTGACTTTTTTCCATGTTCGTAAGAGGAATGACTAAGGGTACTTTTTTCTATGTGATTCTATCCTCTGTGATAAAATTTGTATATGATTTATAAAACTATTTCTTACTATAATTTAAATAATAATATTTTTCTATAATCTTTGTCTGTATTTATAATTAATTTTTCTAACTATTTTGGTAGTATTTAAAAAGCTTTTATCGTGCAGGATATTTCTTCTTTAATTGAAAGAAAATATTGAAATTTATTGCATAGTCAATTATTTTTTATTTCTAGCAATATTTGGTTATATTATTGATCTTATTTTTAAATATATATTTGATTATTAATAAACTAAGGATTCAAAATAAGAGATCTTTCACGAATATAGGATTGAATGCTTTGACTAATTACTAAATTTGATAACGATTTGAAGACCATCTTCAAGATCCAATTGCATCTTTATCTTGATTGCATTTTCTTTGTGCTTCAGTAGTGATTCAATCAATAATTTATGTATGTAATAGCCTTGGTTTGAAATGCCATTGACCCAACATTGAGATCTCGTAAAACAGGTTCGAAGTTGGACTTCCTTCATAGGTCTTGGGATACCCAGGGTTTCCCTTCATATTTGGGATTTCCGTAATATTGCACTTCGTGTCAATTAGTTCCTCCATTACGCTGGGTTTTATTCGGTGGTCAAATTTGGGAAATTTCCCCGTACATACAGTTATGTAGTTATCCATAGAGATTCATTTTTCTTTGAGGACGAGAAATATTTTTAATTTCTTTAGAAAATGTACAAGTCAAAGATGTCGATGCATAAGTAAACCATTGGAAATGATAAATTGAGAGAAATTTAGACATTCTATCTAATAAATAAAAGTATCAGTATAGAAATAATTAACGAACAAGGATTTTTTAGTAAAGGAAAGTAAAATAGTATTATAGTATAAAATAGTATAAACTATTATAGTATAACAAAATATTTCTCTACTTATTTTTCATAAATGTAGAATAAATTTAAAATTAAAGACAGTTTGTGTATAATATAAATACGTATCATTTTTGTATATGCATATAGAATTGTTAAAACTATTTTAACAATTCTTTTATGCGTTTAGTAGTCACAAACTTAAATATTTTTCCGGTTCAAATTAATGATATAAAATACAGAAATAATCAAACGAAGATTTTATTGTATTATTACTGTTATTTAATTGTCTGATCGCTGTCTACGACATCGTGAATCGTTGTTACATTGTAACGAAGAACTTTTGTAATTTCTTAAGGCCTTTAACGCGAGTTAACGTTTACAACTTTAACATCACTTATAAAGAAAATTAATTCGTCATTACCTACTTTCACGAATAGTCCATTAAGAGAAATAATTACGGTTCTTCTCCTTTAGTAAGTTTGATCAGATAAAGTTAGGTAATTAATTTCAGATTTACGTACTTTTGGTGATAATTTCTTAATTTTCTCATCAACTTTTAGCTAATCATGGTAATTTACAATATAACAATCGTATCCAATTATTATATTTACAAATATTATATACTTTACTATTTCATATTACTATACTATACCAAACATATATATAATATAGTAATACTATTATTCACACATACACAATCAGAAAACAAATACTTGAAAATATGAATGAAATTATAAAAAGAAAATACTTATTGCATTAAACTGATATATAATTATATAATATTATAAAACAATTATACTAGTGACAAGTTTAGAATTAAAGTATAATAATGTCCTCTTTGCAGCTAATTTTAATTATCTGTACTATTTTCCTAACAATAAGTTACATCATTCTACCTTACATTGCTTCTTGATATGAAGGGAAGAATACTATTAGTTATCGGTATTTGTTTTGTACCCAAGTACCAATACGCGATATAGATTATCGTAAGACACACGTACGAATTGCATATTCGCTAAGTCATACTAAAAATATAAATTACAAATTTATCAACTACACTTGTAGATAAGTGTGTAGTGACCATACGTGGTAACATAGATCTTATCGAAAAAAGATTAAAAATTAGCAATATATACTATAAAAATTGTATGCACCATTTAGCATTACTGCAAAGATCTCGTGATATATACAATTCTAATTTTAATATTAACAAAGGTAATATGAAGTATACAATTTATATTTTGTTATCTTGGTGAATACTTCAAGGAAGCATTTTACTTCATTTTATTTTAACGTAAATTGTCACCTATTTTTCATCTCGGTAATATAATATGAGAATTTATGTGTCGAAAGTATTGTAAGGGGGTCCTCCCCCACGGTTGTGATGTCCGCTTGTCGCAGGTATCTCCTCGATGTGGCGGTGCTGCTACAAGGGACGAAAGGAAAAGGAAGGAATGAACGTTTCGTCCCGGGCCTGCTAGTGGACTCGTCAGTAAGGCTTTCTAGCAGGCCCTACCTTAGACGCGGGGATACTTAGGTCGCATACGAACTTGTATTTTATGGAAGTCGAGGATTCACCGAGGGCTTGCGAGAAAGTCCTCGAATCTCCTTGAAGTTGGAATCCATCTAGCGGCGAGGGTGAGAATGATGGATGCTACAGTATTCTTATATTTTCTTTTTTTGTCTTTTTTAATATAGGAGTCCCAATGCAATGCAGAATTCGAATGGCACACAAACGTCACTTGTAACTGCCAGTCGAGCTCTCCACAGTCGACTCCATTAGCAGACGTACATGAAGGTGTCGAAGACAATTCTTCTAGTCATAGTGAGTATAAAAAGAACTTGCTTTTTTCTTTTTCAGAATAATAAGTTAAAAACGGTGTTGTAGGTACTCATGCTGATTGGTTAGAAAGAAGTCACCTCAGTACACTTTGCTGTAACAATATTATGAAAAGGGAACATTAAAGAAAAATTATTACAAGGGATAATAGCATCTTTTCTTTTTTATATGACGGTATCGAGTCATTTTATAAATAATTAATTTCCTGTTTAAATATGTACCTTTAAAATACTAAAAAATGTCACCAAATAGTATTTGAGCTGTTCATTTGTGGAATGATTAATTCCATAAAACTGAAAGTAGAAATTTATTTTATATATAAAAAGTTAAGCATATAAGAAATCAATTTCTTTGACACTAAAATTTTTGAAAATATTTTTAATGTACTTAAAAAGTGACGTTGAAAACTCTGGCTTGTAGATGATTCATTTATTATCAACTATTTATTATCTGTTGCATCTATCTAGTTCAAGACTGTGTTCCATTTTCTTAATATCTCCATCTTTATGTTTTTAAATGTCTTGATGGAAAACTAATACTGCAAAGTAGTACTGCAAAGTGATGTAAAAGAGAAGGAAAATACACGATGGATTTATTTTATCGAGTATTATCTGTGCTATTAATTCTGTAATATTGTCAGTATAAAACTGGATTCCTTTACAATTCGTTAATACCTATCGTTTCTCTACTAATCCCTTGCCAATGTTATTTAATCCTATTCACTACAGAACTGGGATTCCCCTAAAAAAAAATATGTTTGTCATTATTACACATATAACAAATCTATAAATTTTATTAAGTAAATGCGTAAATGAAAAACAGTAAATGAATAATTTGTTTTTATTGCAATAAGGAAAGATATGAGTATATTATTCATAACTGAAATTTCCACTTTTACGAAACTACAGAATTATCGCGATCAGTAAAATAAAAAATAGGTAACGTAAAATACTAAGAAGAAAGTTGGTAAAACCAGATTTGTCAACCTTATATTCCTTAATTGATTGACATGCGTCTGTCAAATTTATGGAATGTAGATTAATGATATATACATATATCATACATATTTGTTTAAAGCCTAATATCGTATCATTCATTTATTTCAGTTGGTACGGTGGCAGGGATCGTGTTGACCGGTATCGCCCTGGTAGGAGCAGTGCTTTATTTCCGAGATCCCGATAAGAGGGCGTGCTTGCGCTCTTGCTGCAATCCGTTTTCCTCTAGAAGAGGCAGCGGTCGTGTTCAATATTGCAGGGTATGCCGTAGAATTCACATTCTTTGTATTTTGTTTAACCATTTTTTGTCCATTATTTAATAGATTCTAATAGCCTAAAGGCTATAATTTAAAAGTTAACAGAAAACGTTAATCTCATGCTTGCGAATTTCATAACCAAAGATTTATTTGGCTTATGAAAATTCGAAATGAGTATTAAATAATACAACTTGCTGTCTATTATTGAATCGAAGGTTATGCTGTTTTGTGTTACTTATGGAATTAGAAATTAGATAAGAATAAATATTAGGTTATTGAAAATGAATTGTTTTGCTTATCGTATTGCAAGTCGAATTTAAATATTTTTCTTTCTAATTTATTCACGTCACGAATTTATTTTTCTGTCCTACAAGAATCGTTGGTGTGTTTTTTAGTATCTATGACTTTTTGTATACATACATATTATATATTTTCCTATTATCATATCGAATTCTACATATACGTGTGTATACACACGTATACGTCCTCAGCATTGTATGCATCAGTATGTGCTTATCACTTATCTATTTTCTATATGGACAAAGACAAAAGATGAATTCCTAAGGTTACAATACTCGAAAGCTAAGGGCATGCAGAGTAAACGATTTTTGTTGCAGTATTAAATATTTAATTATGAGAGATACACGCATATCATGAAAAGTACTTGTTCCCAAAATTACGGACCGAATACAATTTTTATTACGTTAAAATTAAAAAATTTTTTCTGGTGATTTTAACTGCTCATTTATGCTTTAGGTTGACACAACGGAGGAAGCTCGGCTACTCGATGTTGATCCTACGCAATGCCAAACAGATAGCGACGATGATCTCTTGAATGCGTAGTCATACTTTATTGTTGTTTTCGTTTACGCTATATTTTATCTATATTTCAAAACACACGAAGTACATTTATCGCGTGAAATTTTTACAAATGTGTTTCTGCTTTTCTTTTTTTTTGTTACCATTAATTGTGATCAAATGGAACTCAGTCTTTCTGATTCCACTGCTATGAATTATAAGCATTTATGTAATTATTATATAGTATCTTAATATGGGAGAAAATTAATTCTGTCAAACTAGATAATAGTTTTGGTGTTTATTATTTAGAACTTTGTTGCACGAAGTCTTTTTGTCCTTTGCTTAATCATTTGCTTAAAGCTACTAAAAACAATGTACAGGAAGGTTGATTGGAAGTTGAAAATTTTATAATTTTGTTGTAATAAATTAATGGTACAACTAAAATTATTAAATTTTTCAAGAGATATCATTTATTTTCTTTTATATAGAATTATTTATTTTTTCTATAGATTCAATAATTTTATAATACATATTAAAAACTAATACTATGAAGTTTCAATTGAAAATTAACTTTTATTCTACAATAAATTGATTTGAATTTATATTAGTTTTTTGCTTCTAAGATTCCACCTCGTGTACATTTTATTTCTGTGTATAATAGAGATTTCATTTTTGTCCTTTTTTGGTAGAAGGTAGTCTTCCAACAAATCATAACCTTTGATAATATCTTGAATAACGTCAAAATGTTAGACTTACCAATGAAAAGAAAGTACTTGTTTATCATAGAAATTTAACAACATTTCCCTTTTTTTTGTTTTTTTTTTCTTTGTTTTAATTAGTTAAAACAAATAGCCTAAAGGCTATAATTTAAAAGTTAACAGAAAACGTTAATCTCATGCTTGCGAATTTCATAACCAAAGATTTATTTGGCTTATGAAAATTCGAAATGAGTATTAAATAATACAACTTGCTGTCTATTATTGAATCGAAGGTTATGCTGTTTTGTGTTACTTATGGAATTAGAAATTAGATAAGAATAAATATTAGGTTATTGAAAATGAATTGTTTTGCTTATCGTATTGCAAGTCGAATTTAAATATTTTTCTTTCTAATTTATTCACGTCACGAATTTATTTTTCTGTCCTACAAGAATCGTTGGTGTGTTTTTTAGTATCTATGACTTTTTGTATACATACATATTATATATTTTCCTATTATCATATCGAATTCTACATATACGTGTGTATACACACGTATACGTCCTCAGCATTGTATGCATCAGTATGTGCTTATCACTTATCTATTTTCTATATGGACAAAGACAAAAGATGAATTCCTAAGGTTACAATACTCGAAAGCTAAGGGCATGCAGAGTAAACGATTTTTGTTGCAGTATTAAATATTTAATTATGAGAGATACACGCATATCATGAAAAGTACTTGTTCCCAAAATTACGGACCGAATACAATTTTTATTACGTTAAAATTAAAAAATTTTTTCTGGTGATTTTAACTGCTCATTTATGCTTTAGGTTGACACAACGGAGGAAGCTCGGCTACTCGATGTTGATCCTACGCAATGCCAAACAGATAGCGACGATGATCTCTTGAATGCGTAGTCATACTTTATTGTTGTTTTCGTTTACGCTATATTTTATCTATATTTCAAAACACACGAAGTACATTTATCGCGTGAAATTTTTACAAATGTGTTTCTGCTTTTCTTTTTTTTTGTTACCATTAATTGTGATCAAATGGAACTCAGTCTTTCTGATTCCACTGCTATGAATTATAAGCATTTATGTAATTATTATATAGTATCTTAATATGGGAGAAAATTAATTCTGTCAAACTAGATAATAGTTTTGGTGTTTATTATTTAGAACTTTGTTGCACGAAGTCTTTTTGTCCTTTGCTTAATCATTTGCTTAAAGCTACTAAAAACAATGTACAGGAAGGTTGATTGGAAGTTGAAAATTTTATAATTTTGTTGTAATAAATTAATGGTACAACTAAAATTATTAAATTTTTCAAGAGATATCATTTATTTTCTTTTATATAGAATTATTTATTTTTTCTATAGATTCAATAATTTTATAATACATATTAAAAACTAATACTATGAAGTTTCAATTGAAAATTAACTTTTATTCTACAATAAATTGATTTGAATTTATATTAGTTTTTTGCTTCTAAGATTCCACCTCGTGTACATTTTATTTCTGTGTATAATAGAGATTTCATTTTTGTCCTTTTTTGGTAGAAGGTAGTCTTCCAACAAATCATAACCTTTGATAATATCTTGAATAACGTCAAAATGTTAGACTTACCAATGAAAAGAAAGTACTTGTTTATCATAGAAATTTAACAACATTTCCCTTTTTTTTGTTTTTTTTTTCTTTGTTTTAATTAGTTAAAACCTCAATGAAACTTTTCGTGCATCAATGTGATGAAAAAATACATTATTTAGATAGAGATAATTTTTATGTTAATCGAGAGTGATGATTTATTTTTAAAATTTCATTTTATTATTACAGTTTACAGTGTAGGATATATATATTACATTTATTTAAATAATTGATTAATTTAATGAAATTAATATGAAATTTTTTGTTTCAATTTAATTGAAAACATTCCGATATATTTTTGTTTCCAAAATAAATACAAAAGAGATTATTCAGTTTCTTTTTTAAATTTAGTTTAAAGTTTTTCTCATTTAGAAAAAAGGAATGTTCAAAATTATCCAAAAAATCTATTTCCAAAGATGTATATATACAACATATACGCAACAGACAACTACAATTAAAAAATTAATATTCTACAGTTGATATTCCATATCAAATGCAATAATAACGTAACAATATTATATTATATACCATTAATATAATTGGGAAAAATTTTAAAAATTTTATATCGCTTAATTTTTCATCTTAAATAATATTGTGTTTGTGATTTATATCATATTTGTGTTTAAAAGTTATATTGATAATATTAATGAAAATACTTTATTGTAATTTATCAACGAAACATATATATATGTATATTATACAAAGCATCATATTTCTTTGTACATTTTGCAAAATAAGCAAATATATAATATGTTAGTTGGTAAATTATTTTATAATAATACTTGGATGTTTCGATGTATCTCTATGGTTGTAAGAATATATAATTACGAAGGGGTATTTAATCTATATATGGAATAAATGAAGGTTTTTAAATTAAGTGTCTACAAATAATGTATTTCAATCATTGTTATACCTTTCCTTCTCTACAATGTAAAATTATCGTCAAACAATTATTACTATCAACCAAAAAAATTTCTATATTTTTAAATTATTACGTATTATATAATTTTGCGAAAAATTGTTAATATTAGGACAAATTTTTCTATTTTGCAAAAGTTGTGAATGTGAAATTTGTTTATAATTTTATTTTATATTTAGTGTATACTAATACAGTAGTTCTCGTGTGTCTCTCTTTTAGATCAACGTAGAAATCAATTACTTAGAACTTTACCTTCCTAAAGAAACATACGTTTCTCAACGTTTAGTCATGCTTTTTAGGATAATTTCATTGACCTAAGGTACATGCTGCTAGAAAGTCTTCATCTCAAATTTCCAGATGTTCAACACGTTCGCTGCAGATTTCAAAAGGTGCTGTTTGCCTATTCAAGGACGTGCAGATCTGGCCGCCACATGTACAACTACTAGATACAAGCAGATTTTTGTGGATTTCATGGTTAGTGAGAAAAGCCACTAGAATAGTGAAAATATAGCAATTAGGATGAATATCTATGCAAAAAAATAAAATGAACAATAATAAATTAATGAATCTTTGTATTCTAAATAAGACATTCTTCCTTCTTTTGTTTATAAATATTGTTTGTGTTGATATTTTGTTTGTTAATACATGTTTAATTGATTTTCAATAATTTACTAATATATCCATTTATATTTCATTAAATCACTGTTCTTCAATGAAATGTCTAATAATTGAAAACGTAAAAACGTCTGCACGTATTTGTATGAATAACAATTTTTAAATATTTTTTCAATTAATTTTTTTGCAACATCAATTATTTTAAATCAGCAAAAAGGATAACGAATATTTAAAAATCTAACTCGAACGTACTGCAAATGATTAGAGAAATTTTCAACCATTTTATTCTACAATAACTCTATTCTAAAAATAATATTAATAAATCTTGAAAGATATAATCAAAATGTATTAAAAAGAAATGATTAATATATTGCTAAAAAAGAGGCTCTTATTAATCATCTAAAATTTTCATTATTTTATCCTTTTTGCAACCATAATTTTGTCAGGAAATATTTTTTGGTGATATAAATATAGGAAATATTTTATATTCTAAAATAATCCAAAGAATTCGATGTATACTTTTACTAGAAAACGTGCGTTTATATTTATTGACTATTCGATTAGTAATGACTACGCGTTGAAAATAACATAAATCATAATTTATACTTTCATTAAACTCTAATCTTTCATTAACATAGTGGTACGTATTTAATTAACACCGACTGTTATTGTTACCACTATTATATTATTATTATGATCGATAATTGACAGACAGGAATTATAAAGTAATGAACTGTTACACAGTGTTTCCGTCCCTTTTCTCTCTTTTTTCTTTGTTATAACTATTGTAATATTCACCTTAATTGACAATCATGGAATATTCATGGAAATAATAGTTCTTCCACTGGAAATTGCTATTTGTAATTTACAATCTTTTTCCTACAAAATCGAACATTAAAAATAAATCGTTAATAATTACACGTATGTCACGAAATTTAAAGAAATCTGTGTTATTTATATAAAGAGCAGTATACTTGACACAATTAAAAGGTAATTTCTGATAGTGAATCAAAAGTATGGAATAAGAAACTAGTTTGTAATATCGAATCACGTTCCAATTTTATTTCTTTTCAAGTAAAGAATTATTTAATACAAATTATTAGCTAAAGCCAATGAAGAATTTATGTACAACTAGCAATGTACCATAAATACTAAAGGAAATTACGATATCAACAATCTTTAATCTACTATTTCACTTTAATCCGAAGACAACATAATGAGATATTATATTCTC